AATCGGGCACATGCTTTTGCTATTGGATGTTGGAATGTGCGAGCGTCCCTAGACCCTGGTACCCAAAGTTTGATGGCACGCAGATATCTGTCGCCTGTGTAAATTCCCAATTCCAGACTTGGGCATTCGGTAAACGTCATAGGAGCCGAATTTCCCTCCATTCTATATCACGACGGTTCACGCAACTGTTCTGGCCCTCTCGCAATAAGCGAACTGTGCACTACTTGCCTACGAAGGGGACAATGAATAGATAGTTTACTTGCGCCTGACGGGTCACTCCAGACAAATTTGTCTTGGGTGCGTATGTACTAACGTCAGCTGCCTAATCTCACATATGCAATAGTTATTTGCAAGATCCACTCTCCGCGCTCTTGATTTTGTCGGTGCCTGTAATGACTGTGGTAGATCAGATGACTCTAGGCCAGAGGTCGGGAACCTTTTTGACTCAGAGAGCCAAAAAACAATTATTTGGAAATAAATTTCAGTGAAAGCCACATAATACACTTTAAGATTGAGTTCAATAAAATTTCTTGGCGGTGGCACGTCATGAGGGGAACCAAAGTCACAAAATCGGAAGTTTCTTATTTCAATTTTATCTGAGAGAGCCAGAGGCAATCATCAAGAGAGCCACACCTGGCTCGCGAGCCATAAGTTCCCAACCCCTGCTCTAGGCGAACCCTATTGGTCGCTTTGGGATTGGCTTGCGCTGCGATAATGGTGAGAGGATGCTGGAATTTGTTAATAGTAATCAACTGTTTGTCGTCAACACATCCGTCTAATTTGGTATTCAAACGACTAGCATATACCTAGTTTGATCGACTATATTCGGTTTGGTCCAGGGCTCCCAGCTAGGTTTGCGACAACGGAATAAACTGTCTTGTTGGGACTAGTTACACCCATAGGTCAGAGCGTGTTCTCATACGCACAGTAAGGTCAACCTTTTATCCGCACCCACATTTTCGCGTGCAAGCAAAGCCGCGACCTTCAGCACAAAAATCCGGTCTGCGTTTACAGTCCCTTGTATTCTCTCTAACATAGTCAAGGTCGAGTATTGACATGACCTCTCGAGCACCTCATTTCCAACCGTTCCATATTCCATCTGACGTTTAGCAAGTTTTTATTCCGCCGGCCATCATATGCAACTACACAATTGTCTGAATTCTCAAAGGATCGTACACGATTTTGAATTTGCAACTGGACGTCGGCTGACTGCTATGTACCGTGCTGATGGTATAGCCTTTATAGCCC